ATTAGACACAACTTTAAGAGTTTATCTAAAGTTCTGTGTTGAGTCTAAATTGATAAAGTAAGTCATTCTGTGACAGTGCACATACAACCCGGGGAGCGTGGACATGTCCAGTCACCATGTGGTCCTCACAGGTCCAATGAAGCTTTGAGTTTCTCAGGACGTCGGTTCTGAAGAATCAAACGCAATGAAATGGATGAAGGCCACATGATCTTCCAGGCTCAGTCGGTGTCAGGCTGAAGGACGCTCTCCTCTGTTCCAGAGGATCAGAGGACACGTTTCAGTGTCTATGACACAGGTGTCAAACATAAGGTCCGGGGGCCAGATCCGGCCCTCCAAGACCTTTAATGTGGCCGATGGGTGATTTTCTACTAAAATATTTTAATTATTTTTTCTATTAAAATATTGGTAATTTTCTGCGGTGCTTAGCATAGCAGCATCTCCAGCATCTCTGTACATGGCCCCTCCCACCAGAGCAGCACAAATGAAGACTTTCCGAACGCTCTTAAAGGATGATCATTTTGACTGTTGACCGTGACACCCTCATCAAAAAAATGTCCAAAATGAGAAAAGTGGACACAGAGTGTATGATTTTCCAAGAAAAATTGACTTATTCCTGTTTGCATACAAGTTAATGTTAAAACATTGTGTTGAAATAGAATTTTTCTTAAAGTTTCAGGTTGTTCATAATATTATAATATTATAATAAGAAAGAGTTCATCAAGACTTCTGTAATAGATTTGCGTCTCTCTGCACAAATATTTGAACTTATTGTTATTTTTGGGGTACATATGACATGAGTTTTCTGATCCGGCCCCTTTAGGATCAAAGTAGGTTGGATATGGCCCCCGGACCGAAATGAGTTTGACACCCCTGGTCTATGAGGTCTAACAGCGCTGGTCACAGATTAAGGCTAATCAATCAAAAAGACTAAGTCTGGAAAAATGCTAATATTTAAATTTGCAAAAATATGAAAACTTCGCTTTCAAATCAGATCACATCACGTGAAACGACAGGAACTGCTTTGAACAGAGGGAGAACTTGGCCGTTGTCCCTCTTGTTCGGCTCTACAACATCTTGACCATTCTGAGCTGAACTGTTTCTGTGATCTTCTTCTGCTGAACTGAGATCTGAATTTAACTGGTCAGAACTGGCGAACTGCGATGAGGTCTGTCTTCCTCCTCTTAAATCTTAAGGTAAGCGGGAAGACTGACCAATGAGGTGCGTGTTGGCGTGGAATTACAACTTAACAGTTTTACACAAAGAAAGTATTCACATGACATTTACAAATCAGTATTAAAACACACTGGCCAAAGTTCATTAAATGAATCAACTGTTTCATTCCTTTCTTTCTCTGGAGAAATTCTATTGTCTTGAGATTTAGAGAGCATTCCACAAAATCCCATCGTGTCTTTTATTTGTCGATTATAGTCAGTGAACAAACTTCAGTCAATTGATTTATCAAAAGGTGAAGCTTTATAGAAAAGTTAGTTTGGAAAAAGATCTTGAATCCTTATCGTGTAGTTGGCCAGAACTCTGTAACCTGAAATATGCAGGGTTCCCACGCCCATGGAAATCCTGGAAAAGTCATGGAAATTGAAAATGTAATTTTCCAGGCTTGGAAAAATCATGGAATTTTGTTTGTTCAATGAAAGTCTTAGAGAAGTAATGGAATTTTAGTATCTCTTTCATGCAACTCCAGTGTTCTGTTAAGTTCTCATGAGTCTGTTCTGATTATTTCTGAACGTCTGCACCTTTTATTTAAAAGAGACGACAATAAATGCACTGACAGGATTTTGAATGTTCCAAATCTATAATCCCAAACCATAAGGTGAGTGGAAAGGATTAACATTTCCTATTTAGCCCTAAAAGTCTGATCAGTTCTACACATGTAGGTGCTGTTAAAAGTCTTGGAAAATTCACATTCACATTCATAGGTCATGAAAAACTCATAGGTTTAAAATGTTGTCAGTGAAAAAGAGTGGGAACCCTGAATATGGGGGGAAAAAAAAATGTTAAAGTAATATTGACACAAAAAAATTTGCTATTAATTCATAATAGTTATAGTTATACACAGTGTGTTGCTCGCAAATATAGGATCTATGCTCTGCATGTGTGAAAAACTGTAGTAATTCCTTTGAGAAATGTGAAGTGTACTCACAAATTTTCACCATGCGGTGCTGTCAAAAGTGATTTCTGGCCATGCCACTTTGCAACAGTAGCATACAGAGGCGGTGGTGCATTCTCAGGCCATGTGGCAGGAAGTAGCACAAGCTCATACCCCCACATACAGGGAGGCCCACTTTTAGTTTGTAAGAGGCTCCCCGTGGCATCAAGGTAGACAACGTCCTTTTCTGATATACTTTGATGCCACTGGGAGACCACAGCATGACCCCCCTCGGTTCCAGGAGCACCTTTTGGAGGACAGTCTGTGGGGTCATTTGAGGGTCACAGGTTTTTGGAGACTGATCATCTCATGTTTGTGAAGATGTTTTCTTTCTTTGTTCATACGAGATGTTCCTCAAGACATTTGGCGGCGGCGCTTGCTCCCTCCATCCATTTGCATACACTGATGGAGACAGTGCACCAAGTCACTCAGATGCATCTGATGTTAGCTGTTCTCTGTCTTTTGCCCACACAGGCCTGGCTTTCATTTCATTTCTACTCAGGACCACCTGTGCCCTCAGGTCTTGTTCTGATTGAACACTGGCAGTGGCTTTCACTGGGCAACACAGTTTCAAATCTTCATGTTTCATATAAAAACTGACAATAAACTTTTAAAATTTGAATTGATCTGAATTTTGAATTGAATTTGAATAATCATAACACATGGATCCCTTTGACTCCAGGATAGGTCCTGGGTCAAAATGAAAACTATGGCCAAGTGAATCAGATTCTATGCCAAAGTTATAAGCATTTTCATTTTTTATTGCTCCAAATGCATTTTCAGTGACTGTACAGCACATTCAGAACAACTATGCAACCCTGCCTCAGGAGTGAAAGAATATTAAGTGACCCGGCTTTAGGAGACAAACTAAAGACTTGGGGTCTGTCTGTGAGCTGTCATCTTTCACATTTTCATAGTTGCACTTTCTGTTCTTCCATAATAAAAGTGTACAACACCACACAGAAAGTATTGTTTGTATTACTTTGTTTTGGACCTGTTTCAGGTGCAACCTATATCCTGTACCACTAGATGGCGATGCTTTGATTCAATTCCGATGTATATAGTGTCGATTTACCTTTTATACCACTGTTACAAACATCTGGAGATGGAAAAAAGAAAAAGCTGTAAAGTAAAATAAAAATAAAAACATTTAAAATAAATAATGAAAATAAATAATCATAATAAATAATAAATAAATAATAATAAATCAACTTTTGAAATAGTTTATTATGTGAAAATATTACCCAGGAGTTGGCTTGTTTCATTCTCCACAAAAACACTTGTGATAAAAGAACTAGCCTAACCCCCAATTATATACACATATATGTACATTCATACAGACAAGGGGACGGTGTATTACTCGTGACCACAATAGTATGATAAAATATTTTAGTCATGTTGTTACCTCACCATCCACACATTTCTGAGTCACCCTGCATTATTAGTCTATTTATATCTACATTTTACCTTTTTAGCAGAAATTCCAATTCCAGGGCTGGTGTCATCCAAATGATTTTAATGAAGGTGTATGGAGTTTAAAAACACAGTGGAGCACAACTCCAGGTATGTCTTTGATGAGGAAATGTATTTTATGGTATTAGGTGAACCTAAAGCTACCGTTTATGAACTAGCAATCAAACCCTCAGAATAATGGGAGTAAAATCAGCACATGAGCTTTGGTTTACAGCTAAGGGCTGACACATTTGATTTAACAAACTATGAAAGTGTCACAGGCCTGATCACTGAAACAACACTGAAACACTGCACCAGTGCACAGTCAACCAGGGCTCTGCCAGTCTGTTAAAAGTGACCAGGCTGGGAACACACATGAGAGGAGGATACCAACACAAATTTTTTAGCTCATTAATAAACATCAGATGAAACACAGCAGCTAAGACTTATTTATTTGCTTATTATTTATTTACTTTCAGCAGCACCTGTGGAATTAACCAACCTAAGGGAGACCACATGGGGCGAATAGCCAGTCACAGGTGAGAATGGAGTCATGACTGCAAAGGGACTAGAGGAGAGCTTATTGATGCTGGACAACTGTTTTTTTCCCCTTTTTTGTGGCTTGAACTTTATTCACATTTCTCCTGTTTAGTTTGAATGTTTGCCTTGTTATCTGTGTGGTTTAATACTTTGCCATAGTCGTAGTTAAAAAGTAGTGACACAAGAGAAAAAAGATTCAGCTGTTTCAGTGATCTGAAATACAGACACCATTTAAGTTTGATCCTGTCAGATCTCAGGAGCTCAGCAGGGCCGCGCCTGGGTAGTACTTGGATGGGAAACCACTGGGAAAAATCAGGTGCCACAGGGAGGCGCTAGTGGGAATAACTGTCATTGTGTCCTTCACCCACATTGCCTAGTATGAAAGTGGTGTGTGAGTGATGGTGGTGGTCGGAGGGACCGATTGCGCCGATTGGCATGACAGCCGCGCTTCTGTCAGTGTGCCCCAAGGAAGCTATGACTACAATAGTAGTTTACCATCACCAGGTGTAGAGTGTATGAATAATGCTGAATAATGCTATGGAAAGTGTCTTTGTGACAAATGTCGATGAAAAAGTGCTATATAAATAAAGACTTACTTAAAGACTTAGTCTGTGTCCACACTGCCATGAAGTGAAGCAAGCTCCTGTTTAACATCTCAAACATCATACATCTGAAGTCAAAGGACTTCACAATAGCAGTATATACCCCACAGAAGTGTAATACCCCCTCTCACCCTCGCTCTCTCACTCTTTCTCTCTCACCCTCGTCCTTAAAACTATATTTAGCTCTACGAGGGTCACTACAGGCAAATGCATGAGATCTCAAAGCAGTCAGGAGGAGCTGACCCACTAGAGCTCACTCTCTTTCAGCCACAGAGGAACTGAAAGTGTTTCCCAACCCTCAGGAAATTACAGAATTATTTTTTACAAAGACAAAACTTCAATTTCTAATGTGCTGCTGAGACAGGATGAGTGACCAAGCTCAAACAGACCCAAGGCCTTTGGTGGAAGAGGAGACCGCCGTAAAAGTCATAGTTGGATCTGAAGCATCTTTTCTTCCAGATGGGAAGCTTGATTACCCTCCAGCCGGGGTGAACTCCATTTATTCAGCCATTTTGAGCCGAAATGAGGCGGTGAAGGATGCCAAAAGGCTGAAGACCTTCCTGGAGCTGAGAGACAAGTATGTGAAGAAGAAAGTCCTGTTTGAAGATCCACTGTTCCCGGCCAACGACTCCTCACTGTTCTACAGCCAGAAGCCTCCCATGAAGTTTGAGTGGAAACGCCCATCTGTGAGTCAAGTGCTTTTGACACATGAGTGACATGTATTTAGGCTAATGTGGTTATGATACTCACATTCACTCTTTCAACATTAAATCTTTTCTATTCCCATGTGTCTTATATGTGTGTACTCCTTCAGTCGTCTTGGTAGGTTCATGTTGGTCCGTGAGTGTACTAGTCTATGTGCACTGACACTTGATCTGATACAGAGAAACATCATTCTAAAACTAATCAGGAAAAGTTCATTTCTGTGCTGTCAATGAGACTTTATTAATATTGATACCTGCTCAAATGAGTATCTAGTTTCAGTACTAGTTGTAGTATTGATTAGTATCTGATTTTCAATACTTTAGACAACTTAGATTTATTCATCTCTTTAATGGACAATATGGTTACAGTGTTGTACTGGTCTGCTCTAGTGTGATTTGCAGCTATCCACAGGAGGGGCCCACGGCATGTGGCGCTTTTCTGTGATGATGTTTGCGGCGGCCAAAGCTCACATTGGTCACTGCAGTTTTCTAATGCAGAAGTCACCAGACTTGTTTGTTTTATTAAGTTGTTTAAAATACAATTTCATTTTAAATTATTGTCATTTAAAGTGTCCAAATTAGAACATAATGTAATAATAATGATTGTCATCAGTTATAATTATACTAGAGCAAACACAAACACAACAGGTCTGCTTTAAAACCAGTCTATCCTTCATTTATTCATTCATTCAGTCTTGCTTTAATTGCTTAAACTGAATTGCCTGTGTACCTTCAGCTTAGACAAATGGCAAATGGTGGGCCATCAACTGATTCTATACTTGCCTGTAATTAAATATAACATCAATATTATTATAAAAGTTGAATTAACTCGTATTAAGACTCCAGTGACTGTCTGCAGGACAGGCTTTCCCTCAGGTCACTGTCATATCTCAGATGTGTCCAGTGTCAAAGCTGATTTGCCGCATGTCTGTGGGAATGCCTCTGGTTTGACACCTCTCCCTCTCTCTGTCCTCTCTTTTTCATTCACTCTTACCCCTCCCCTCTCTCTGTTTCCCACTCTTCCTCGCTCTCAGTCACACACCCACATTCTCTGTCTTCTCATTGTGTTACTCTTTCTCCATCTCGTCTCTTTCACTTCTCTTTCTCACTGATTCTCTCACTTTACACTTGTTCCATCTGCACTCTCTCACTCTCCTCTGACTCCCTCTGTCTCTTTCTGCTCTTTTCTCTCAATCCTTATTCATTCATTCTCACCCCCCCTCTCTCAGCCCTCGCTCACTTGTTCTCTCTCTCTGTCTCTCTCTAACCCTTTGTCTAGCCTCGTACTCTTCTTTTCTATCTCCCTCCCTTTGTCTCACTCCTCACTCCATCTTTCTCTTTCTCTAATCCTCTCACCATCTCAACTCATCCAAAAATGTTCCTTTTCTCTTGTTTTGTACACTAACTTATTAGCATCTGTTTAGAGACTCTGCAATAGGAGGTGTATTTATCTTGTTGACATGTTTGGACTGCTGAGATCTTCAGAAGTGTCCCCGGGGTTGGTTGGTGGTGACGTGCCATGTATCTGCTGTTGTTACTTCCTGTGGGCGTGGTCACCCAGATGGAGCTGACAGGTCGCTCAGACTGACCACGCCTCCTGCCCCCGGTGCTCTCTGGAGGAGGGTGTCCCAGGCGTGTGAAAGGGGGAGCGCTCCGTCATCTTGGTTGATCTTGTTGTTTTCTGATCCAGTGACCAGTGCCCTGTCCCAGTCCGTCCCCGTCTCTCTCTGTCTCTCCTCCTCTCTCTCTCACCACTTTCTTTTTGTCTTACGCTCTGTCTTTCTCTAACTATGTATTCTCCACCTGCTCTGCCCCCTTACCCCCTCACACGCTTTCTCTTTCTTTTTTCTCCCCCGCTCACTCTTGTTCAGTCTCTTTCTCTTTAATTACTGTCTTTCTCTAAACCCTTTCTGTCCATCACTCTTTCTCTCTGCCCTCTGTCCCTCTCATAACCCTGTCACATGCACAGTGTAGTATTTGCCTTGTGCATGCCTCTGGTTTGACTGGAGTCCAGGCTGAAATGCTCCAGGCAGCAGCTGTTCCACCGAGCAGCGAGCAGCCTTATGACACCATGTAAACAGACACAAGTGCTAAACGCTTGATGTGCTTCAAATAATAATGTAATGACTTACTGCCACAGCCCCGCTTCTTTATATTTGACTCATCATTCATGGCAGAGGCAGACACACCAACAGTGGATTTAAGCAGACCTATTCTGCAAAATCTACTTTTCAGAGCTTTTCACCATGTTATGTTTATCTTCTCATTACTCTCTGAAGCTGTATTTGGAGTGATGATGGTTACTGATGATTTGTTCCTTTTATTACATTGCTTTAACTGAATATTGTGATTTAAAATGTGCAAAGGATCATCATGATCCATGGGTGTAAATATATAGCAGGTCTCCTTTAAATTAAACATGTTCTAAAGGTCTTATATAGTGAGAGATTCTGAGTTTACAGCCATGGGATATAATGTCGCTTCCTCATCAGAAACATACCTGAAGTATGTTCACACATGTTGAAGTAATCCTGCATACGGAGCTCATATCAGCACTCAAACTGTCTGGACTGGGTACTTTCATACTCTGGGTTGGCTTTGTGAGAAAGGTCCATGCACCAAAAGGACGTGTCAGAGACAAGTTAGTTGTATCATTCATAGATTGTGTACCAGTGCTCATGACAATTTGTTTTTTAAGATAAGGTGTGCAAAAGTTCTTAATGCCTCAGTAATGCACATTATTGAACCTTTAATGGACACAAAGAAACTGAATGTGGAGTAACTCTGCACTCCTCTTGACTGCAGTTCTAACAGTGCTGAGTCTTCTCTCTGATCACATGACTCACATCATCATCTAAATTTAGACTGAATGCCCACACACCCAACACCATAAGAGCCCCTTATAAAAGGTTCTTCACTTGTGGCTTAGGGTCACGCCACTGTTAAGTTTAAGATGTGCTGTAAATGACAAAGGATGCATAATATTCACTATATCATGTGACACTTTTGGGCTGGCGGCTATAACAACTGCTTGACTTCACGGAGAGATGTTTTGCCTAGAATGTTCCACATATATATCTCCCATTTTAATTACAGATGTCATAATTGCTAAAAATACTTATTACAGTGAGCAGCTTCGCCTCCTCACAGATCTGGCCTGTGTTTTGGCAGGAGGCTCGTCTCCATGGAGATGGATAGGTTAGATGCCCTACATTCCACGCAATGCAATAATATCCCCATGGGGACAACCTGACCTTTACCATAAATGTTACATACAGTGCACCTTTAAATCTACCACAAGAATTTAGTTACTCTCTGTCCCCCCTCACTTGGCCCCTCCCCTTTCCCCTCACCTGGCCTTTGTTCAGCCTCACCTGTGCTCTATGTTCCTCTGTCAGGCCAAACAGTAACAGAAGTAATGCTTCATGGTGATATGTGAGAATACAACAGAGGCTTGTTGGTCTTAAACATGAAGCAACTTATATATGAAAATAAAATGACCATAAATATATAATTTGTGATGGATGTGTCACTGGTCGGCAGCCATTTCCAAACAAGAGTTCAACAAACAATCTCACAGTGAAGCTGTGATTCAATGTTAATCGTGCACATTCTCACCTGATGAGCACAGGAGCAGTGCTGACCTGTCAGCTGCTGACTTCTAAACCTGAGCATGACTCCCAAACCAGGTCTCGTCTTTCACTGTCTCACTGTGAGTCTGCACTAAACCAGAATAGATGTTACAGAAGAGAGCTTTAATCTAGGTGTCGACCAGTGTGTAGTTCTCCTGACCTTTACAAAACTTGTTCTCTCAGATTAACTTTTTTTTTTTTATACCAAAGAAGAGCAAAAGTATCTTTAGACTATACACTCCTCCGTTCTATCCCCCACGTCACTGTGTCCAGGAAATGCTAAAACTATTTTCACCTTCATAAGACTCCGAGCGTCTCAAATGTGAATAACAGTTCACAGGCCTGAATAATACTGCCTCACGTGACAAGTGGAAGGATATTGTGTTTATGGAAAATTTCATTTAAAGGGCCATGACCATGACACTTGAGTTCTATAGTTTCTCACTGGAGACCAAACTACTCATATAGTGAAATAAAACCTTCACACCTCCCATACTAGATGAATGAAATCACTGCAGCAGTCGTGCTGAATGCCACTGTTGTTAGGAAAGATTAATCAGATTTATTATATCCCATCTATTAGACCTCCAAACCAATATTACCAAATTACTTTTATGAAATCAACCTATTTGAGGTAAAATGTCATTTTTTTTGTTTTTGTTTTTACATTTAATCTTAAAGATTCAAATTTTTTCTGATTTTTCAGATACAGCTAACAACAACCGTAAGGGACATTCACTTCACTAACATAACATAGAAATATGGTTTTGAAAGTGGAATGAACATCACACAAAATCAGCCACACATTTTTGAAATGATACTTCTTCTATTTTGACAGGAGATTTGTGAAGACCCTCAGTTCATCATAGATGGAGCCAACAGAACAGATATCTGCCAAGGAGAGCTGGGTAAGGACTAAGGCTTTTCCTAAAGCCCATGTGGTCACTTAGCCTATGGCACCTGCCTGTGCTTCTGTGGTCTGTCCAGCTCTTGAGAAACGAAAACCAAAAGTTTGGCATTTGTAAATTGTCATAAAAATTTGTATGTTTTGTATTATAGTAAGATTTTTTGCAAATGACACCAGTACCTGCAGAATACAATACTACAATATGACCTTTACACTAGTAATATATTCATACATTCATTCTCTCTTTGAGAGTGAAAGATATGAAATAGATGAACTCCTCCAGCTAAGGAAGTCCTGACCATGTCTAGCAACAACATCATGCAGATGGGTCCCCAGCACTGCTCCTGAGGAGACGCCCAAGCACACGAGAGTCAAACTCAAATTCACAGAGGCCAAAATTAAAAACTGGGACTAACTCGTGGGCCAAACTAAATATTTATTGAAAATTTTCAACAACAGCTGTATGTTTTCTCTTCTCTCGAGATATGTAATGTTAAACCTTTTCTTATTAATTTTTTTTTTATATAATAATTCTGCTTAAACACTGAATCCAGAACAAGCATAATATAAAATAATAACAACATTTAAATACATAATGTTTTTATAGCTCATCTGAAGCCAGAAGGCCAGCTCTAATACATATTTGTTATGATCAAATATAATTATATGGGCCAAATTTATCCTGAGTTTGACATGTCTGCCCTAGCAGCTCTGAGTGCAGAGAACAATTTTCCCAGAAACAATAGAGTGTATGATAATTTGACCATAGAGATTGTGTAATGTAAGTATAATACATAAGTGTGTGTGGTGTGTGCTCAGGGGACTGCTGGTTTCTGGCCGCCATCGCCTGCCTCACTCTGAATGAGAAACTGCTTTACAGAGTCATCCCTCCAGACCAGAGCTTCACTGACAATTACGCCGGCATATTCCACTTCCAGGTCTCAACACAAATAAGGCAGCCTTAGTAAACCACTTCATTCTTTACTTGCTCTGCTGCATACACATGTTTATGTGCATTAAAGGCTGTTTTATGTCCAGACGTGTGGGATAGTGGTAGAAGTTTAAGTGTTTTGTGTTTTCAGTTCTGGCGTTATGGTGAGTGGATCGACGTGTTGGTGGACGACCGGATCCCCACCAGCAGGAACCAGCTGGTCTTCACGAAGTCTTTCAGAAAGAATGAGTTCTGGAGTGCACTGCTGGAGAAGGCCTATGCAAAGTAACTGTCCGATCACCCATGGGTGCTAGCCACTTTCTGCTTATATAAGAGAGCCACCAAACGCTCTTGCATTTGACAGCAAAAGGCTTCAAAGAGATGAAAGAGATGCTCGTGCTTTTGTCTTCTACATACATTTGCCTCTAAAACTGTGTGTCTTAGCTCTTTTGTTAAACAGGGCCACACAGAATGCCTTGGTTACTCTCAGTTAAGGTTTGTCTTCACAATGTTTGAATGTTACTGGCACATTGACGTGATCAAAGTGGCTCTTGGTGTAGTACCTTCAGCGGTGTGGCCATCTTCAGCTTTAACTGAGGCCCACAGCCAGATGATTAGATAGAGAGAATACACACTAGAAAAGGCAACTAAATGTTAAGCCAACATACTTTACAAAAAAAGTGAGCTTATGTTAGAAACAGCTATTTCAAAACATTCATATATGTTTTCTATTTCCAGTGCAATGCATTTATCATCAGCCAGCACACAGTGTAGAGGCTCAGAAAAGTCAAATAAACACAGAAAAAAAAGCTGATCAATCAGAAGTAATATGTATTTAACCCTAGCAGGCCGTCTGAAAAGATTCAAAACAAACCAGTTTAGGGGACCAGAGCCAGTCCAAATACAGACTTCACTCACAGAATGTCTTCATCAGTGTTTAAACCTTAACTGAGTGTCCAGACCTCAGCCAGTCTGACTCTTGGGTTCTTCACTGTAGTTCTTGTAAAGTCAGCTCTGACTGTCCTTGCGCCCTCTGCCCTCTGTGTGTCAGGTTGCACGGGTCGTACGAGGCTCTGAAGGGGGGAAACACGCTGGAGGCCATGGAGGACTTCACTGGAGGAGTCACAGAGTTCTTTGAGCTGAGCCAGGCTCCTGAGCAGCTCTTCTGTATCATGAGGAAAGCCCTGGCAAGAGGATCACTTATGGGCTGCTCCATAGACGTCAGTACAACACACACAGACATTTGGGCCTTTGTGCTAAAGCTTAGACCATAATAGCAAGGTTCAGGTTGTTCCATGTCAAAACATAGGTGCAGTTATGGTTTGTTTGATGGACGGAAGTAGATTCAGTGAAATAATACAGTATTTTAGATGTAGATCACATTATTTGTTTTGTTTTCAGATGACAGTTTAGAGAGATTAAAGCCCCCACAATTGCAATGTGTTTTTGCCTTACCCACCTGTCGTGTTTATGTTTAGTTTATGTTACGTTTATGTCTCAAATAACACAAAAAACATGATGTACCACCATATGAGCTTGGAAATGAAACAAAAATCATTATTGCTGAAATGTAGGTGGTATCTAAGAGTTGGCGGCAAAACATATTCATCACTTTGAGGGGAAGTGTATGTAGCCTGCACTAGGCTCTTACAGTACAGCTTTCAGCTGAACCTGAGTCCTCAGAGTCTTAACCTACACATAGAGACACATCCAAGTTTGTCTCATTCTCAGCATATGGACAGACCATACCTCATGTGGAAGCTCAGAACCTCCTGAGCTGCAGAGGCTGCACTAGCGCTGACTCAGGATTGGCTGCAGGTGCTGGAGTTTAGTGACCATTCACATCAGAGAGAGAAATTTTAGGTTTAAACCAACTGTATCAATACTGCCAGTATTGAAACTGGCAACCCAAATGAGACTCATGTGAGGCTCATCCTGCTTTCTGAATGGATAATCATATTGAGAATACATAAATAAACATCTTGGTCATCATGTCCACTGTTTGTGATTAAGAATAAAACTGAGAACACAGAATTTGAATTGTCAGTAAAATCTATATTTGATTTGATCATGCTTACCTTGTATCTAAGGTCATGTTTATGAAATAAAAAATGATATCTTACATACAGTTCATTTAATGTAATGTCTCCACAAAGCATGGAGCCCTAACATGTGTGTGTGTGTGTGTGCGTGTGTGTGTGTCAGGTGACCTCTGTGAGTGAGATGGAGACCCGTATGGAGCAGGGCCTGGTGCGGGGCCACGCCTACTCCATCATCGCCCTGGAGGAGGTAGAGTGGGCCCTGAGTAAACGGGTTGCATGCTGGTGTGATGGTGGAACTGTTACTGACACAGTGTGTTTCAGTGTGATGAGGTGGACAAGGACAGCAGGGTGCAGCTCATCCGTCTCCGTAACCCCTGGGGCTGGGTCCTGTGGAAGGGCCCCTGGTGTGCAAAGTAAGTCTTCTGCAGACACTGGCTCACATTTGAAGGCGCTGATGGCTAAGATAGAAGATGGTGGGAAAAAAATCTATTGGAAATCTACAATTGTTGAATCAGATTGGTTTTTGCTAGTGATTTAGTGCATTAGAACATCTCTATATAAAAATGTACCATTTAAATTCAGCAGCTCACAAGATTAATGTGTAGCACTTCATAATAACTGCACATTAGCATTAATATAGCTCGCTGTGCTCTACATTCATTTTCTGAATTATTTTTTCACAAACGCTGATACATGTACATGACTGCTTGTTATAAATGTTTAAAAGTTCTAAACCTTATGCCAGTTGTTTTGTTCTAATCACTGGACAAGTTTATAAGAGAGATATTAAAAGAGTTAAAAAAAAAAAAAAAAAAAAAAAAAAAAAAGATAATTCCTCCAAACGTTTGTCAAAGAAATGTTACATCTGAATTGTGATGATGTGTTATATTTTTTGTAGTTCTAAGGAGTGGTCCACTATCTCCATCGCTGACAGAGAAAACTTGAAGAAACAGACAGTGGAGCAAAGTGAGTTTTGGTGAGTTATTTTGGCTTATTGTTTTATTCTTTTAGAAAGAAAACTTTTTGTACCAACCAGTATGTTTATCAAATAAGGTTTTGTGCCAACCTAAACTATTTACTCCTCTTCTTACACTGGTTTGCCAGCACAATGACTGATGTGGTCTTTCTTTGCGGAGTTGCATGTTCTGCCTGTGTTTGGGTGGGTTTCCTCAGGGCACACCTGTTTCCCCCATCAAGTTTATGTGTTATACTTTCCCCTGTTTTCAGGATGTCTTTTGCAGACTTTAAGCAGTACTTTACAAAGCTGGAGATCTGTAACCTGACCCCGGACACGCTGCAGGGCGAGGAGCGGAGCAGCTGGACTGTGTCAGTGAATGAGGGCCGCTGGGTCCGGGGTAGCTCTGCGGGAGGCTGCCGGAACTACCCTGGTAACCCCCGCTTCTAATTCTGACTTGGTTTGATGGCATAGTACCTGTACTAAATATATATCATATTTTTACATCAATTAAGTAGCTGTTTGTGGAAAGTTGAAAAGGAAAGTACAAAAATACAGGAAGTCGTGACCTCAGGGAAAGAAGGTGCCTGTTTGGTCTGTTATTAATGTTCATGTCTTCATTTAGGGAAAAAATAGAGAAATAAAAGCTCAAGGTCTTGTAGACATTTTAAGGTCAGAATGATGAATCTGACAACAACAGAAACAGACAGAGTTTGGTCACTGGCATTATTAAGCACTGAATTCATATTTCTTTATTTGTCAAACACAATGAACAGTAAATCATAATAATCATAATCATAATCATAATAATAAACTCATCAGATCCAGTGTTAGGGCAGTTTGAGGTGAGTAACAGCCCTAGGACAAAAGTGTCCCTCCTCTGTGTCCTGCAACATCACAGCCAGGCTCCAGGGGGAAACATTAGAGACAGCCACTCCCTCTTGTAAGCCTCTCTCACCCTGCTCTGTCTGTGCTGTCCCGTGCAGACTCGTTCTGGACCAACCCTCAGTACCGGCTGCAGCTGCTGGAGGAGGACGATGACAGTGAAGAAGGGGAGAAATTGTGCTCTTTGGTAGTCTCTCTGATGCAGAAGGGACGGAGGATGCAAAGGAACCAAGGGCCCAGGTTCCTCACCATTGGCTTCTGCATCTACGAGGTTCAAAACTGTTATACACTCAGAAAGATGTCTTCACAAGAATAATGTCTGTAGGTGTTTGAAATGGAAATTTAGGACAGGTAAAAATAAATTGTGGAATAAGCAGTTAAAATGTCATTGAGGATTAAAGTGAATTAAGCCATAAGTTTAACAGTGCAGTATGCAACTTTTCTAGTGAGGAGTCCGCCAATAAGGTACTTTCTTTTCTATTATCTGTACATTGTTACATTGGCCTTATATCTGTGTAATTCTTCAGTCATGCAGGTAGGTTCCACAGTGGTCCGTGGTGATTATACTTGTTCTGATACAGCTCAAGATCATTCTAAATCTATTCAGGAAGGGTTCATTTCTGTCCTGTGAATGGGACATTTTTCATACCGATACCTGCTCAAATGAGTATCTAGTTTCAATATTAGTTTTAGTATCAATTAATATCTGAATTTCCTTTTGACAACTCTAATGCTCTCCAACACACCAGCCTTAGAAAGTGAAGGTGACTTGTGTAAATCAATGGGGTCCGGTCAAGAGGCAACGGAGGGAAACAGGGGCAGATTTTTGACATTCAAATAGCTCTTATTCAGAAACTAGAGGGACTATTGAAATAAGTAAAGTATCAGAATGTAGGAAAGAGTTAACACTCCAACAGGGTAAAGTTAAACCTGTGATATTCTTTCAAGTTGTTGATAAAAATTTTTAAAAACTCATGTCGGTAACGGAGGGAATGAAATATGCAGCACTTTTTGGGCAATAAATACAAACAGTGATAACTAGCAGTTTTCACTTACATATCCTTAACAAACTGGTTTGAATATTTGCTTCATATAGTTTTCTACCATATGTTACAAGATTAGGTTGAAAAACCTCTTACTTTTTGAGTAATGAGATTTTTTATTAAGAAAGGTCATGGTAACACAGGGAAAAGTAACGGAGGGAAAATTGTGCAAGTAAGTAGAAGGTGCAGGATTTTACATCATTTATCAGCTTTTTTCTTCCGAATACTTTAATATTACTTCAAAATTAAAGGAAACTATTTCTATAAAATATGTCAGTCCTTCCAAGCAAATTTTTATCATTTTAAATACATTTTTTTGAAAAATCATGTACCTTCATCAACAGTTCAAAGATGGAATAACACAAGATATGATGAAATACATCCATTTATTGACATGATTTGCAGGTCTTTGAAATTTGGGAAATAATATTTGTTCCATGTTTCATACATGGTCTGTTTAAAACGTATGGAACTTTAGAACCAAAAATGGTACAGAAAAAAGGTCAACAGTTTCATAAACTAGAGTACATATGTATCTGTTCAATACATGTTTATATCAGATGCATTAACTTGAATTTTTGGCCTTGCTGTTTACTTCTGCTTGACCGGGGCCAATGGTTTCACTTGTATATTATTTATGTGGTACTGATTTGTGGTTTTGTCTTCGCAGGTTCCAAAGGAGGTACGAGCATTACAGAAATACTGAACGGAAAATTGCGCTGCATACTGTGGGGGTGTGATTGCACAATTTGAGCAAAAGTAAAGAGACTGATGAAGATGAAGCATATCCCTTCCAAAGATATGTTTCTCATCCAGAACATAACAAATGCTAACACAAATGACTAGAGGGTCCTTTTTGACCAGTCCCTGTGTTGTTTGTTGGTGTGTAGATGCAAGGGAAGCACCAGCACCTCCAGAAGGACTTCTTCCTGTACACTGCATCCAAAGCCAAGTGTAAGAGCTACATAAACCTGAGGGAGGTGACAGAACGCTTCAGACTGCCCCCGGGAGAGTACGTGCTCATCCCCACCACCTTTGAGCCCCACCAGGAGGGGGAGTTCATTCTGCGTGTGTTCTCCGAGAAGGACAGCCTGTCAGAGTAAGACCCGGGCCCAGGGGGTGAGGGCTGAGAGATAAGGGAGTGAGGGGCTGAGACGTGAGGGGGTCAGGATGTGAGGTCTGAGAGGTGAGGGGGCTGAGAGGATGAGGGGGTCAGGGGATCAGGATGTGAGGTCTGAGAGGGTGAGGGGTCAGGATGTGAGGTCTGAGAGGGTGAGGGGGCTGAGAGGGTGATGGGGTGAGGGAATGGGGGGGTGAGGGCTGAGGGGAGAAGGGGTTCCGGGCCTTTGGGTTAAGAAGGCTTCAGTACGTTTACATGCACAGAGAACTCCAAGTGCGCTTCAACTAAATTCAAAGTCTTTGCTCTTTTTATTGGGATGTTTGAGATTGGAGCTCCTCAGTCCTCAGTCACTTTCATGCATTTTGATAAACTAGTTTCATTAGG